TCTCACGCAACTTCCAAGTTTGTTTTTTTTTTTTTTTTTTCAGTCTGATTCAGTTCAAGATAAGATATGACTGTACTTAAGAAAAGTTGAAAAATTGTGGTGTTTAGAAATACATTAGTAGCAAAACTTAGAAAAGTCAGAATAGAAGTAGACTGTCAGAGAGCAAAACCAAGTAATCAGTGTTGTCTACTTGTGTTATGTGATTTGAATTGTGTTGTGTGCCTATGCCCCTTTGAACGGTAAAAAATATATTGTTTAACATGCACTTGAGAAAAATAATGGAAGGTTTCATAAGAGGGTTACGTTTCACTTCACCTCAAAGCAAGACCAACTTGAAGCTAAAGATGATTTCTTAATCTCCCCTTTAAAGATATGTTTAATAGAAAGGAATTGAATTTTATACTTTTATCTTATAGGAAAAAACTGAAAATCCTTAGATTCGTTAAATTTGATGCATGTTTAGATGTTTGAGGAGGGGGTGATTGGCCTACTGTTTTACAGGTGTGATTTGATGGATGCCTTTGTGATTTTAGTATTAAAATACATTTAAGTTTTGCTTTAGAGATGATCTGAAGTTCCCCAAAAATAATTTGGATTAATACTCTACTCAAAGTTGCACAATTTTATTACATGTACCTAGAATATACAGCAATAATTCATAAAGCTATGAAGAGTATAGTGTTTTTTAAAATTAATTTTCTTAAATATTTTTTTTCATACTGTTTGCAATATTATAAATCATATCTATATATTTTAAATATCATACAAAACTATAATTTTTCAAATTCTGTTTTTGATAAAATTCATATGATACTGTATGAAGAAAATCATCATCCAGTATTCCAGTAAAAACATGTATCATGCCATAAATAATAAAGTATATCTCTAAATAATATCAATAATGTCATCAATAGTAGAAAGTTTAAACTACTAATAGTAAGATACAGATCTTCAAATTATTTCTCTGTTGTTAGTATATGAAAAAAAAAAACCAGGAAAATCTTGAACTAAAACTGAACTGTGCCTTTCTCACCTGTATTTCACACCCTCATCTCACCACTCTTGTCTCAGCCAATCAAAGACATTGTAACAACTTTCCTTACAAGTATTTCATACCCCCAATCACACCACTCTTGTCTCAGCCAATCAATTTCTTCGTAACATATTTCCTTACCTGTATTTCACAGCCCCTATCTCTCCATTCTTGTCTTTTCCAATCAATGCCATCGGAACATCTACTAACTTGGGGACACCATTTACAATCAAATGAATCATCCTGAGTTAAACAAGTGTTGCAGTCTTTGGCAATATTACAAGCTGTAAATAAATGTATTACATAATGCTTGAAGTTCATGAAACAAGAGATGCTTATGAAACACTTATATGCCTCCTCCCTGCAAATAATTGGAAAAGTTCACAGGGAATAACTCTGTCCAAAATTGCTCAATCATACTTAAAACAGAACTCGACCTAGATATTTCTTGCAATAAATCTGTATACCAAAATTCATTTCAGAATGTGCAACCTCTGTGAAGAAAATGAACAGAAACTGCATATAATATTGGAATTTTTCAAAGTCCAAGGGACATAACTCTGTCCAAAATTGCTCAATCATACCCAAAACAGAACTTGACCTAGATTCTGTAAGTCGTTTAAATTCCACGGTGTTAAAATTTCACAATATCTCACAAAGCACCAATTGCAATGGTTTTAATTTCACGATGCAAGAAATTAATTCAAAATTTTGTATATGCATTTCAATGCTTTTAAAAACTAATAGTATTGTGACATTCATGATGGGTTTAATTTTGCTTGAAATTAATCATGTTAATATATCACAAACATAGCGAAATTAAAACCATCGTGAATATTTGCAAATCTACAGTATTCTTATGATAAATCTGTATACCAGATTTCATTCCAGTATGTGCAACCTCTGCAAAGAAAATGAATGGAAACTGTTGGACCGACTGATAGACAGCAGCAAAATGCAATATGCCCTCCCTTCTTCAAAGAGTGGTATAATGACTACTGACAAGTGATATGTTTAAATAAGCAAATTAACCTTAGTTCAATCATTTCTAGTTCACTTACTTGCTAGTGGTTCCAAAATAACCACCGATTGAGAGCGTACACGCTTAAAGTCGACCTCCACTCGATGATATTCATAAATAGTTCTTCTCTGTACACCTACAAAACGAATTCATAAAATAAACGATTGAATATGGTTATAGACACTTACCATGTACATGCACAATATAGAGGGGGGGAGCCTAAAAATGCTGAAACCCCTACATCTCCCCTCTGAAAATTTTTGACTTGGGTGGAACCCCCCCCCCCCCCCTGGAAAAAATTCCTGGATCCGCGCCTGATGTAACACAAATCATGTGTCCTAAAAATGTAATGTTGATCGAACTTTGTTACCTTAAACACCAATATCACAAATGTCATATATTGAAGCAAAAAATTTGGAAAATTTCTCAAAAGTATATTTTTGTCCCATCCAGTCTCAAGAAATGTCTTGACTTGACAAGTCAAGATAAGGAGGTTTAACTTAAGTTTATGTATTTAGGTCTTTTTCCTACAGTGTTTTGATCTAAACAGGCCCTCTGGAAATCTGTTGCAGACAGAAAATGCTAAAACTTTGTCTTGTTATTGCACATGCTATTCAATCTCCTAAGGAAGCTCAGTTAACTTAAATAATCAGATGAACAAATTTTTAAAAAATGTAACTAATAACACAATGGTGATGAAAAAACTCCTTGAAAGACTTCTAAATATGTATATTTATATACATTATACACATATGAAATCAAAGTGGATACTCATTATATCAACAAAAAATATCTACAGTATTCAAGTGTTAAATTTCTCTGGAAACAGCTGACATACTGTTTGTAAATTTAAATCATTTAAATCAGTTCTATTGGGGTACATGTACTAGGAACTGACTTTTTTGGAAAACAAACAACATGCCAAAACTACCATTATCATAATTTTCAGAAAACATATAATGACATACACATTCTAGCAGATCTAAGTCTGGATATATTAATAATGCAGCCTACATGTCTGTTCATTCTCAATTAGGGAAAACAAAATAACCTAAAATATTGTGATAATATCATCAATGCCTATCAAACATTCCTTTGGAACCTATTAATATAGCAACAATATTATGTTTTGTCTGAATATTGTCAGACATTTCTTTTTCACATATATGTAGACTAGATTTTGACTAGGTTCTAATTGCTTAATTAAGGTGATGTGTCTTAATAAGGTCACTGCATGGCCGCAAAGATTAAAGGCAGCAGATAAAACGTTACGCACAGAAAAAAAGGTTCATTCATAATTTGGGAGTTATTATTCACAACATTAATTAACTTTCATTAACTGCAGTCTAGTGTGCTAATTTAAGTTGTTCATAACATTTACAAGAACTTCTTCAGCAAAGACTTTCTGTAACTTATGGGCTAACCTGTAATATTTTCTGGAAAATGGTGATTAATTTTGAGATGCTTTATTTCAATTGCTTACCTGAATTTCAAAGTTAATAGGAAAGAAATAACGAACGTTTCAAAAACAATCTTGCATGCAGTCATGCATGATCATACCTAAACAGTGATTTATGCTAAATATGCACACACAATGACAATTCACTTTTGTTCTTGCTGTTAAAATTCACATTACAAGACATTATCAAATATTTCTGTGAAAGTTAAAGAATAAGTTCAAGGTCAAGAATATAAAGGTCAAGGCCGGGTCAAGATGCACATGATTTCCATGGCAACGGTGTTACCTTCGTTGGAATCAGAGTATCGATGATGAGACGTATTTTTACTTTTAACTACAAGAACAGACAAAAGCATGTTGGAAAAGTCGATACAAGATTTACGCAAACTATCACAAAGAAAAATGCAGACAAGTCTTTTGAAAAAAGACATTGAATCCTGTAGGAAAATAATAGAAGACAGCCTTCTTATGAACAAGCAGATTTATGAAACAAGAAATGAGACATAATCAACATGGAATAAAACACATAAATACGTAAAGCAGATATGAAGTGTATTGAGCTTTCGACCTAGCTGGTGGCAAAGTGTTTAATAATCAAGGTTTTTAGCAGCTGGTGTTATGGTTTGTCTGGCAAAGGGGGGTGTTAAACTGGCAAATAATATTTTTGTTCACATGTTCAACTAGCTTTCTGCAGCTGAAATGGGTTGTAAAAATGTAAAATATATATATGTACATAATACCTTTTTAATCAGTATGTTCTGGCTGGAATCAAAATCACATAGAATACACCAAAGGACTCATTAAATCATATAACAGTGTTAGAAACTTCTTTACAAGAAAGGAAAACATTGAAGTTTATATTTTTTCCTTTGAGGTTAGGTGAGTTAATTGTCGATTGATGATCAACAAAACTTAAAACTTCTTCTCTCTACTTGGAAGCAATGAATTCTAACTCACCACAAAAATGAAAATAAATTGCTTGAAAATATTGTTCAAAACAAATCAATGGATGAAAGACAAAATTTTACTGATGACACCATCCAGATAACAAAGACATATTTAAACAAAATTCAGAATCCACACTATTTTCTACAGTCCTCTCCACCAGTAATAACACTGAATGGCCAGAATAAAATAAATAAACAGCTTCTAAAAGATTTCCCTGATCCCCAGTTCTTACCTCCCTGGATTGTGTCTATGTAGAAGGCATCAGACACGCCCACTTTTACTGGGTGGTTCTTCACCTCAATGTTAAATACCTCCACAGGTACCTACAATGTATAGATATACAATATAAAATACACTGATATACAATATCACGATGTATGTATGTAGATACATGTATACAATGTTAAATATCTCCACAGTTACCTACAATGTATAGATATATAATATATACTGATATACAATATGTAGATATACAATTTATAGATATACAATATTATATAGGGACTATAAATAGACTTTATAATAATGTCTAATATGCTGTAAACTTTGTCTCTTTCAGTAAATTCTACTAGTTAAAGTTTTGTCTAATCTATAATGTTGTCTTATCCAGCCAAGCAATTTTTTTCAGAACCACTGCCTAGTAGTATTTGCATGGCAAGTTTTACAATACCGTACTTTTTTTGCCTGATTTAGCAAGTTGCTTTGTTCAGTCAATGTTTGAACAAGCCTTATGTGCTTTAAGCATGCAAAAGCAGCATAATGGACTCTCCTTAACTCATTAATGATTCTTCAAAGGAAATTGGTTTTTTTTTCTGACAAAGTTGCTTTAACTGTGCTAGATTTAGGACGTACCATTTTCCTCATTATGAACAGGCTTCTCAGAGAAGATAAGAGTACCCAAAAGGGAATGACTAATTAGAAGAACCAATTAAAGGAGAAAACGAATCACGTTTGTCTCACTATATCAATCTGTGTTAATGCTGGACTCATTACACCTGATTGCTTTATTGTTGCGGGTATCAACATAGAATGGTGACCCTATGTTCATGCTGGTTATCTTACATTATATTTTTGTTTACATTTTATTGCAGTTAGGTGTATTTATGTTTGTTTGTTTGTAAGCAGCACTGACATGTGCACCTGTTATAATTTTTTTTTATCTTACTCTGAAGCATTAGAATAAGTACACAGTTATTTTTTTGCCTTATATTAGGGCCCTCAGATATAGTGAGGGACCAATCAAAAATGGCAGACAAATTTCTTATGAATCATTTTCAGCTTTAAGAAAGAAGCCCTTACAACAGAATAGGACGATTTTCTCCCTAGTTTGGACTTTCAGTAGGGCGTGGCATTCTTTGCACTAGGTAATGGCGAATACTAGTATATTCTCATTGGTTAAGAAATTAATAACATCAGGAACTTAAAATTGTTGTTGACAACGATGAGACGACTTATGCCCCACCTCTGTGCCGTGAGAGAACTTTTAATTGGCTATTTACTACACCAGTTGACATTCTGCCGCATTTCTATCATATGTATATTTCAACAGTGAAGGGAAGCTGTGTAAATTTCAGAAGCTAATTAGGTAACGTCGAGAATGCCACGCCTTACTAAAGTCCAAACTAAGCGTGTAATGGTCCTAAGGATGATTGTATGAAAAACATAAATGCGTAGATTTTCTCTAATCATAATTTCTGTCTTGTTAAAATGTGTGTGTATTGGTGTCAATAATCTTCTTTAAAACTACACATCTTTGACACTACATCACTCAAAGTTAGCAAAGTTAGAAAAATAAAATTGCTATTCTGAATTCGATTTCATTAAGCTGCATCCTCATGAAAATTTAATGGGCATGTACTTACATCTCTGTATGCAAAATATATGGTTCCATTAGTATGAAGAGTTGTTTGGAATGAAAAAGGATTGGCTGGAAAAAAAATAATTTTTTTTTAGACATCTGTACATAATTTTAAATTTAAAAAATTAAAAGTCCAAAGCAACCCCTCTCCCCTTAAAAATTAAATCAATTTATAATTTTAAAAAAAAGACAATGGAAGGAAGGAATTAAAATTTTCACAGATCGCAGACAAGGGAGCTTACTGTGATTTTGGTCCTGAAGGAAAACCCGCTGCCATTCGACCACAAATTTATCACCTACAAAAACAAAGAAAAGTGTATAGAAAATTATAAAATAAATAAATAAGTGCTTTGTGCAAGGTTAATTATTTTCATTTTAAGTACCTTAATAGTCCTTGCTGCTCAGAATTCAAGCACAAGTAACTTTTCAAGTATTTCACAAAGGTGTTTGAAACAATTATTGCAAAAAGAATGGAAAGCCAATAGAATTCTTTTTTTAAAAAAATGAGTACCTGGTACTCTATAATTATGCAAGCTAGGTTTTCTTTTTTAGTTGCACTATCATAATAGTCCTTGTTGTTCAAACACATGTAATTTTTCAGTATTGGACAAAGGTATTTGAAACAATTATGTTAGTGTAGATTTTTTTTTTACACAAATATAAAATAGCTAGAGCAACATTTTAATCAATGATCTAAATAATCTTTTTAAAAAATGGTAAGAAAAGCAAGAGATAGTTGCAACTAATTTTATTTTTCAATTCATTAATTCAAAATTTCTTCCTTTTTTTCATTCTTAACAAGTTCCCTAGTAAAAGTTGGTCTCTAATACTTCAGTCTTTGGAAATTATTCCCAACATAATAACATATATCCTGGTTCCCTTCCCTCAAGGTAAGACGCTATTGAAATTAAATATCCTGATTTATTGCCTTTCTCCCGTAAGTTTCCTTCTGAAATCCCCCATGTCGAGTTTCCGCTATTACAGTTGTCGACAAGACTGGCGAAAATTACAAAATCAATACTCAAATCGTAGAACTAATCACCATCATTTCTTTGAAAACTCTGATGCAACATTTTCTTGCAAAAAAGTTCAACTTAAACAGCCATATTGCATGACCTATCCTATTATGGCCCTGGTTTCTTGGACAGAAAGGATCACTTTTCCTCTTTCCTGAAAGAACTCTTCTTTAATCTGCGTTCAAAAGCAGGAGTTGAGTTGAATTTATTGACAGCAATACAATAATTATGATTGTCAATATCATTTATGCTAGAGCACTTAATTATCTGCAATATTTCATATAAATCACATCTAATTTTTGCCTAAACGTTCAGTATCTTTTGTCTGTATTTTTCGGAAATGTTTTTGTTTTTTGTTTGCTCATTTTATTTCTGCTCTGTTTTAATTATATATATATCATCATTTAAACCAAAAAAAATTGTGATTTTACAGCACAAATGCTGAAACTCTTATAGAATAGGTTAAAGTTCAAGAGAAAGTTCAAGGTCATGTTGGAGATAAAAACAAAAAGCATGGTACCCAAAGACAGGTATTATCACAAGGAAAACACCTGTGAAATTAGAAAGACTTAGCACCAACTGTTCAAAGTTATGGGTTGGTTACCAGGAAAGTTTTGTGGACAATCAAACAGCCAGACAGAGGGTTGGATAGGGCTAAATCATATTGCCCCCCCACTCCCAATTTGCAAAGGGGCATAAAAGTGTTCTTCACATATACAGTCATGTACTTTGAAATTGAATGATGCACTACCTATTCAATAAGCAGAAGTGTTCCATGCACAAACCTAGAAATATATTCGATTTAATTTTCAATAAGTAAATTTTTAAACTGTATTTTCACTGAATAAATTTTAATAAGATATTCTATTTCGGATGCATGGACTGACACATTCGGTCACGTACATCCTGTGGCAATTTCTTTGGGTGGTGCTAGCTAGATGACGTTTCAGCTCCAGAGCTCAATGCCATAATAATGGAAAGATTTTATCATCTAGCAATTCAGTAATACATTTTAATCAATACATTTGCCATTTCCATATTTCAAAATAATGATTTTTCTGCAATACATGATACCTTCAAACTTTGGTCACAGATGGTTCTATTTTTAGTTTCTCATTTTTTGATAATCATTTTATATTGTTTTCTATTGTAGTAAACATCTAAGACCTTTCACATTTGATCAGACCTGATATCTTTTTTTAATACACCAAGCAAAATCTACAGTCGAGAATGAAATTTGACTGTACCTGTATTGGTAACTAAGAGCAGACCCTCTGGCTCAATTATTTGTTAGAGAGTATTTGTTAATTACAAAATGAAGATCTTAAATGTCTTTATCGTTAAAATTGTTCCAGATTTCCTATTCTTACTTAGATAAAAAGAGACAATAATATGCCTCAGTCTGAAATTATAAAATGCATGAAATACCAGTTATTTCTTGTTTAATTTATTGTGATTGGTGAACAGGGGATGCTTACTTCTTCTTACCACCTGATCACACCTAAAAAAAAATTCTTGGGTCCAAACTTTCTGCCCCTTTACAGATTTATATTATCTGCAGATTTTTAGGGATTGAACATAATTTGCTTTCTTAGCTCTCCCTAGTTAGCTTTTTCATACAAACTTAATATACCCCCCCCCTCCTAAAATCCTTAATATAATTGATACATTCTGCAAATTACACATTTTAATTAGATTAAGATTTTCATCCCTGGACTTAGGAAAACACCCAAACTGTCTGTGTAAACATTAATTTACCAATCAAGATCCTTTAGTTCCCTCAAAAAGTCAGTATCAGAACCCTTACTCTGTTCTCTACAATCAATCTCCATTCCGTCACAGGTATACAAATTCGAGTATGATGTATAATGGAATGGTCTATGGATTGGCTTTATTCCGTTCTTTCTGATGACAAGCTATGATAGTTGGTGAGCTGCTAGCCAAATTTTCAATTATCCAGGCACCATTAACCCAGTCTTAGCATATAGACACAGCAATAGAATCTCAGGAGCCTGGCGTTTCATTTAACAATGACAGTATCGGCTTTACTTTTATGCATTCCAATAACATAAAACAGGTCTATACACAAGACTCTTAGTTCTGATCATTTTTTCTATCAATTTGTTGCAATATTGATAGACTTAAAATGCTTCAAGATATCAATATTAGGCTAGAAACTATTAGAGGACATACAATTGAACCTTGACATTTCAAACATGCAGCACTGAAATGTCAAAGTTATGTTTAAGTTCCAATCATTTATTATTTTTAGTATTTTACCTTCAATATTTTGAATCCTCATATATCTCAATTTTTTTTCTCAGACCCATCAAGTTTGAGATAAGAAGGTTTGACTGTATTTACATTTTGGAAAAAAAAATTTGGAAACAAGCATTTTGAAATCATTGCCTTATAAAATGAAAAAAATATTGGGATCTGAAACAACTGCAAGCTTCAGCAAATCAAACAAATATCAAAATGCTACAGACCTTCTCTAAAAATAACTGACTTACTATATTTAATTATAACTGAAATAACTGAATCATTAAACACTGATGTGATGGAATATAGTGTCACTAAAATGAAGTGAAATCAATTTGAAATCAAATTGCCAACAAACTGCACATCTCTTTTGAGAGATTAAGCCCTAAATGTTTCCCTGCTTTTGACCTACCTTTCCTGCATTTTTGCAATATAGACTCTTATGAATGAATATTTCTTTTTTTTGGGGTGAAAAAACATATTATTTTTGGACATATGTATTGGACATATATGTTTTTGAAAATTGCTTTTAAAATTGGAAATATGATAGGTGACAGATACAATACAATGGAGAAAATTGCTATAATTTTTCACAATATTCAGATAATTATTGTTCTTCCATTTACTATTGCTCTCGGGTATATCAATTTTGTCGTCAGCTTTTTCATTACACCTCATGCCACTTCCAGATGATTAGCCAATATGACCAGTTTTCGCAAGTTCATCAATACAAATTTCTCCTAAGCACTCGAAAACAATAACACAGCAAAATCCTTTTCTTCTCAAATTACCTGGAAATCTGAGGAAAGTTCCCATTTCCTCTATTCCAGCAATTTTATGGTTTAAGTTCTTTTATCTCCTCATGTCCAACAAAATTACTTATGGGAGAGTTGATATTAATGACTGCAGACACATTACTTGAGTTTCCGTTTTGTATCTCTTCATTATATATGACAAATTAATTGTAATGATCATTATCTTCTGATTTTTAAACTGTTTTCAGAAATGTCTCAATAGATAAAGATGCAAAAAGAAAATGAAGTAACGGCAATACTTGTGATTTCCAATATAGATTATCTTGACCATAATACAGAAAATAATGTCTGGTACTTTGCACAAATGCCTGGTTATAGGTACTACCTTAATTATTTGTGAGGAAACTTGTTCAAGTAACAATTAATATGATCTTAAATGAACCAGAAGTCTCTGTCAAGACTGTAGCTCTACTGGTTTGTACTTATAAAAAAAAGGATGAGAAAAGAAGCCATTGCCGTCAGACCAAAACTGTAGAAGAAGTAGCGTTTTAAAGAAATTTCACAGACATTTCTATTTTTAGTAACCATGGCAACACCGTTCATCGAAATCAAAAACCGATGCACTATTTTAGGTATCTTACTGTAGTCTACTTGTGTGCCAAGTAATATTGAAATCAGAACAAAATTGTACGAGGAGTAGCGTTTTAAAGAAATTTCACAGAAAATCTATTTTTAGTAACCATGGCAACACCGTTCATCGAAATCAAAATCCCATGCACTATTTTATGTATCTTAATGCAATGTACTTGTGTGCCAAGTAATATTGAAATCAGAACAAAATTGTACGAGGAGTAGCGTTTTAAAGGAATTTCACAGACATTTCTATTTTTAGTAACCATGGCAACACCGTTCATCGAAATCAAAAACCGATGCACTATTTTAGGTATCTTACTGTAGTCTACTTGTGTGCCAAGTAATATTGAAATCAGAACAAAATTGTACGAGGAGTAGCGTTTTAAAGAAATTTCACAGAAAATCTATTTTTAGTAACCATGGCAACACCGTTCATCGAAATCAAAATCCCATGCACTATTTTATGTATCTTAGTGTAGTCTACTTGTGTGCCAAGTTATATTAAAATCAGAACAAAACTGTAGAAGAAGTAGCGTTTTGAAAAATTGTTTACAGACAGACGGACAGCTAGACAGACAGACGGACGGACGGACGGACGGACGGACGGACGGACGACGGACACCTTACTATCGCATAAGCTCTTCTGGTCTCTGACCAGTAGAGCTAAAAATTCTTCAAAGGAATTATATATATTTCCAGATCATGTCAAGGAGCACACAGCGGGTGTGACCGGTCAGCAGGGGATGCTCACTCCTCCATGCGCAGCACTGTTAAGGCTAGAAAAAGGGGGCATGGCCTAATTTGTATGGGAAAAGTTTACTGTGACGTCACACAAAAATATCACTTTTATGCATTCATCATATTACCCTAAAATGAAATAATTTGCAACTTTAAACTGTATTAGCATAATAAACAACAATAGAACTTACCAATGCATTAACAAAAGTTGCTAGTTAAATCCCATACAGCTGGTTTTAAACAAATCACTGATCTCGATGAACTTGTCAATCATGACGTCATTTTGGTAAAAATGACGTATTCCATGTACTGTGAGAGGCAGATTTGGGAATTTTTTAACAATGAAAAATGCGTTTTATTATAAAACAGAATATTATTTACAGGTTTTTAATAGGCTAATAATACTAATGTATATCCTTTGTTCAGTGCGATTATTCATCAACTATCGAGAGAATGTATTTAAATAATTCTGTCTTGTTTTAATGTTCAGGTTAGGTATATTTTACATCGAGGTGCCTCATAAAATCGCTTTTTCGCAAGGGCATACACTAAATAAATCATGACCATTTTTTGAATATAAATAAAGGATATGTTCCTTAACGTGAAAAGTGCTGCTGCTTTCTTTAAATCGAGAGCATGATTTCATAAGTACACAAAATATTTGGTAAAAGTCAAACATATTTCGACATCGGCCTATTTACTTGAAATTATAACTATTAAAACGCGAATTCTATTCAAAGCAGCAGCACTTTCCAGAAAGTACAAAGTATGCAGAAACAATTAATAGTTTGAATTTTTAATTTCAACTAGGGTATGCCCTTGCGATATTGAAATTTGTTATCGACCTACATTCCGTGTACCTACTATGCATTCATCACGTGACTGTCCATCGATGGGACCAAACTCCATACAGTACAGAGTAGGTTATACTATGCTATTTCCATAAGTATTTAAGTTCTGTGATAATAGAACAGCTGAATAAAAATAAATTCAGTTTTAAAAACAATTCCCGTTTTTGCACTTCTATTTTCCGTTGATTTCTCATAGTAAGCCTTAACAGTGCTGCATGGCACCTGATCCCACCTCTGATGTTTTGGAGGTCTGTGTTTGCTCTGCTCCTATTTTGTATTGAAATATGAACTTTGATATTGTTTGTTATCTCCATATCCTTCAAATACGAGGGGTTATCAAAAAGTTCGTGGACTGAGGCTATAAAATTAGTACCATGTAGTCTGTGTTTTCAAAATTTATATGGGACATAAAACAACAAACAAATAAAGAAATGTTGAAAATTTCAGCTTGATACGTTCATTATTTGCCAAATTATTATAAAATAAAAACGACATTGTATGATCACCCGGCGCTGTCGCTGTTTAGTTTCATGACGTCCGACAACGTCATTGTTTTCAATGTTTTCTACCTAGCTCATACACTTATTTTGCTGAGATTGTCTGGAGCTGAGTAAGGACTTAATCCCGCCTTGTTTATATGTCTTTATATTGTCTTTATATTGAACGGCAATAAATAATATTAATAATATTCCAAATGGATTTATGCAGTGAGAGAGATCCTCACTTGATTGTGCCAGTATATTTTACTTTTGGGATTTCCATATCTACAACAAATAATCAGTCATTTTTTGAGGTGATTGATTTTTCACACCTTGACTAAAAATCGACATTAGCTGTGCATCTCTTAGCTCTCTAAATCTATTTTGACATTACAAGACAAGTAATCTGGATGCATATTATTTCTCCGTAGCCAGTTTAAACATTTCTTAGGTCTATACCAGTTTTTTCAGGGACAAAACTTTATACAGAATGTTGGAAAAGGACACCCCTCCCCCTTTTAACGTCATTTTTAAGGCCTTGTTTGTTTGGACACTCCCTGTTAAATTTTCGATAAAATTTCATATAACTTCCAGAATGAGGTAAAAATTTCATATTTTATGTAGCAATTGTGTCCAAACACATACCTGAATCAACCTGATTTTTGGATGTCATATGTTCATATCAAACCAGTTTTTCTCAGTTACACGTAGGTCGCAAAAACGTCGTGTTCGAGGTTGCGCCACCTGGACATACCATTGCTTACAAAAACATAACTAATTAATTAAAAAATGAAATTTATGATTTATTGTTTATTCTTCAGATAGAAAAGATGATGCTAACAAGATATTTTAAAATTCACTGATGTACCCATAGCGGTTTTAATTTTATGGCGCTAGTCCACGAACTTTTTGATAACCCCTCGTACAGTTGAACTTCAGTATCTCGAACACTGATATCTCTTATACCATGGATATGCCGAAGTGAATTGGAAGTCCCAACCACTTATTCTTTGAGTATTTCACCCTTTATATCTCGAGTCATTGAATATCTCAAAGTTTTACCTCCATCCTATCAAGTCTGAGATAACAAAATGTTTTTTTTTTGTGAAGAGTTATTGATGTGAGCTGCCATTATAGAAATTCTCATTTCAATTTTAATTAATTTCCTTTGTCAGCTTGCTTAAAAGACATCAAGAGAAGAACAGTGTCTAATGTCCTTTTAATTAATCTCTTCCTACAGAACCTTTCTAATATTTCCTCTAATGCCATAAGAATACCTGTATATGAGTTATTTTTTGCAAGGTTAATGAGTTTTCCCTTTTTGATAAATCTTACATGTGCTTACCCTCAAAAGCCATTAATTTGAAAATTCTTTACACAGCTGTGTTACATAGTAATACTTAGAGTGGTACTAATTCAAGACTGAACCAAACAGTTTCCGGACTGCTTATATTTGAAAATTTATAGTTACAAGAATATTCTATAAACATAGGTAATCAAAGATTACGAAGCTCACCTCGACGAATGTTATCAGTTTAAGTAATGCAAATCCTACATCATATTTTCTTAATATTAAGTATTCATCCCAACAACAATATTCTTGCAAGTTGTGCTTAACCCTCTACATGGCATATATACATTTCTATGCGTGTAGTGTGAAAAACATGTATTGTGCAAACAAATATTCATAACTGTTAAACTGCAGATATCAAAGACTTCAAGTTCATTCGGATTGATCTGTTCCCAAAACTTTAACCTGGTCTCTTGTATGGAAAATATAGGTCAGATCCAGCATCCGAAGCAAGCCTGGTAGTGTCCATCCTAAGATACATCATCCATGCAAGTTTGGTTTAGCTAGGGCTTACAGTTACTTGGGAATGAAAAATGTAGGTCAGATCCAGCATCCGAAGCAAGTCTGGTAGTGTCCATCCCTAGATACATCATCCATGCAAGTTTGCTTCAGGTAGGGCTTATAGTTACTTGTGAATGAAAATGTAGGTCAGATCCAGCATCCGAAGCAAGTCTGGTAGTGTCCATCCCTAGATACATCATCTATGCAAGTTTGGTCCAAATAGGGCTCATAGTTACTTGGGAATGAAAATGTAGGTCAGATCCAGCATCCGAAGCAAGTCTGGTAGTGTCCATCCCTAGAGGCATCATCCATGCAAGTTTGGTTCAGGTAGGGCTTATAGTTACTTGAGGTGGTTTGTGGCTGTGTGGTGTGTGGTGGTTGCTAATGAAAATGTAGGTCAGATCCAGCATCCGAAGCAAGTCTGGTAGTGTCCATCCCTAGATACATCATCTATGCAAGTTTGGTCCAAATAGGGCTTATAGTTACTTGGGAATGAAAATGTAGGTCAGATCCAGCATCCGAAGCAAGTCTGGTAGTGTCCATCCCAAGATGCATCATCCAAGCAAGTTTGGTTCAGGTAGGGCTTATAGTTACTTGGGAATGAAAATGTAGGTCAGATCCAGTATCCGAAGCAAGTCTGGTAGTGTCCATCCCTAGATACATCATCCATGCAAGTTTGGTCCAAATAGAGCTCATAGTTACTTGGGAATGAAAATGTAGGTCAGATCCAGCATCTGAAACTAGTCGGGTAGTGTACATCCCTAGATACATCATCCATGCAAGTTTGCTTCAGGTAGGGCTTATAGTTACTTGGGAATGAAAATGTAGGTCAGATCCAGCATCGGAAGCAAGTCTGGTAGTGTCCATCCCTAGATGCATCATCCATGCAAGTTTGGTCCAAATAGGGCTTATAGTTCCTGTGGAATGGACCTGCTCCAAAAACTTTAACCTGGTCACTCATCTAGACAATGTAGGTCAGATCCAGCATCCAAAGCAAGTCTGGTAGTGTACATCCCTAGATGCATCATCCATGCAAGTTTGGTTCAGGTAGGGCTTATAGTTCCTTGGGAATAGACCTGCTCCAAAAACTTTAACCTGGTCACTCATCTGGAAAATGTAGGTCAGATCCAGCATCCGAAGCAAGTCTGGTAGTGTACATTCCTAGATGCATCATCCATGCAAGTTTGGTCTGGGTAGGGCTTATAATTCCTTGGGAATGGACCTGCTCCAAAAACTTTAACCTGCTCCAAAAACTTTAACCTGCTCCAAAAACTTTAACCTGGTCACTCATCTAGAAAATGTAGGTCAGATCCAGCATCCGAAGCAAGTCTGGTAGTGTACATCCCTAGATGCATCATCCATGCAAGTTTGGTTCAGATAGGGCTTATAGTTACTTGGGAATGGACTTGCTCCTAAAACTTTAACCTGGGACGCCGACACCGACGCCAACGCCGGGGGTATAGCATAAGCTCATCTCGACTTCGTCGAGGTGAGCTAAAAAGGTCCCTACATTGAATATAGTAACAAATGAAGGACTTTCGTTGTTAAATAATTCTCATATATATTTCTAATTATTTGGTCTTGAACATATTCAGATTTGCAGGCCAATGGCTTTTTAGAATGGGATGCTTACTCATCCATTGCATCTGATCCCATCCCTGAATTTTTTAGAGGTCCTTGTTTGCTCCGTTCTCTATTTGTATTGTTTCACTGACTTTTGGGTTTGATTGAAGATCTTGAACTCCATATTTCATAGAAGACTTGAAAATTACTGACAAGTTGGCACTAGGAGCTACATGCTTATAATACTCTCAGCAGATCTGAGAATTATTGATGCTAATGGATTGCATGGGATTAACTTACCAAAATCTTTATAGAGAATAATGGAATCGTTATTCATTGAGGTATCGAAGTTTGCCATCAATGGAGCTATGTATTGAGTAGCAGTCAACCATTGGTGCAGAAATGGGCTCATATAAAGGAAACCTGGAAATAAAAGAAGAATTATGTTCATCTGATAAAATTATCCTGGCTTTTTGTTAAACCTGCTTCCACTGCACACAAAACAAAACATGTCTCTAATCTATTTACTTTGGTTATCCAATCGTCGTTTGTATCGATTATTATGCATTCTCTTGCTTTACCTCTCAAAAATGAATAAACCGTTCAAGTATGAGTAACTTAATTTTGATGCTTAATTTGTAAGAGCTTCTACTCTTGTCTAGTTTAGATAAGATCCACCGATAATTTAGTTATGTATATTGAATTTCATAAAGCACTTAGTACGCTTTTTTGGCTATTAAGGATATTATTCTAGTTCATAAAAATATCACTCCTGCCACACTGTGAATTTGTACATGTAACTGTATGTTAGTTTGTGAGACAACACAAGGTCAGGGATGCTTAAATGTCCCTTTAAGTTTAATAATGAATTAATAAAATGTCTTAAAATTAATTTATAAATGATTTTCACTTGAAAATTCTGTATGTTCAGGTTCTTTATACACACACAATTTTCTCCATAGACTATTTTAAGAAAAGGTCAGGGAATCATAAGTAACTAGAATATATCTAAGCTACTCCACCATGCTAGAGGTTCACGGCGAGATACTTTTGACTTGGCACTGCACATAAGGAGTGTAGAGGCCTTAACGGAGGCTCTTCCTTACGTGTAGGAGTAATATCTAAGCAAAAATTCTTTGGAGGAAAGCCTCTCATAGGCAAGTTTTACTGTAATTTGTTAAGTTTTCTACAACAAGTTTCAAGTCTACACATTCTTAAATAGTTAGTGTTCATTGTATAAATAAGTTCTATATGTAAGGCCATATTTAAATGAATGCTTGATTGCCCTCTCGCGACTCAAGGTAAAATTATTGGGTCGGTAGGAAGGTAGGGGAAATCATTTTTCCAGAAAATTTCAACACTTGTTGATGGGATAAGAGGAATTAAAGAAGAAAAAAATATATTGGGTCCTAGATGTAAAAAAAAGTTTGAGTCAGGCCTTTTTTAGTCAGTTGGTCACGGGAGGGCAACTAAACATTTTTTTTTTTAAAAATGGCCTCAGCAAGTCCTCTGTTACCTCCTGTCGCTATGGTGATTTTTGTAACTTCATGACCATAAAATTTGAACTTAAAGTTGATTGGTACGCTCTGGAATTAAAAAAAAATATCTACAATTAATGTCACATAATTACATATATTATCTACCATTAAATTCTTTTTAATCTGATTGTGTACAATTGAGCAGAGATAATCCAGTCTAACTCATGAAATATCATAACTGTTTGCCTTGAACAAACTTAAAACACTTGAATTTGACAATTTTTAAAACTATTCCAAGTCACTTAAGTCTGACTTACTTACATTCTATAGTGACTTAAGTCTGTACTAACCACAGCTACTCTATGACTTCCTGATACTGATTCACTGTTTCCAAGTGACTTAAGTCTGACTTACTAACTTTCTATAGAGTGACTTGACTTAAGTCCATACTTACCACTGCTACTCTATGACTTCCTGATAGCGGTTCACTATGTTTGACATTGTAAAGCTCTGTCCAGTAGTTCGGGAATTCCGCTGTGGTAGTTATAACCTTGGACTTGTAATACTTATGATTCTGGCTGAGCTACAATGAAATGTTGACAAGTTATCATATAGTTATTACTCACATTTTACTAATTGTCACAAACTTGTAAAGGTAAAGCAAGGTCAATGTTTGGAAAAAAATTAAACTGTAGTCTGAAGAGCATTTTACCATGTGACATTATTTCATAAATTTTGAAAAAGTTCAAGAATTGGGCATGACCATCATGGACATCCTGGTAATAAATGTAAAATTCCGATCCATCTTGTCTAACAGGATACATTTTAATAAGAGGTCTTAGTACTCCAAGCTATTAACAATTTTCAAATCAAATTTATATTTTTAAATGTTACTTCCTATGTTAACCACAAGTCCACAATTACACAGTTCTTTAATCATAATGAAGAAAAAAAAAAGAAACCAGTGAATTAAAATTGTAAAACGTGGCTTCCGTACATTGGTTAAATGTTGATTTATATTAGAATAATTAAACTGTCATGGTCGGTTCTGTGGTAGAAAATAAAAATGTAACGTGGAATACATTATCATACAATATTTCAAATTGTCTTCATAATTAACATTAACTGCATGTAACTGAGTTGTTGCTTTATACATTTTTAAAATTCCAATTTCATGGAACGGTATCAGAGAAAAAAGTAATTTATTTCACCACCATTATTGGATGCTTCTAGAAATATTGGGGTTTTTTTAACAATTGTTTATGTTTTTCCTTCTTTGATAATGAATGTCACATTATGACTACATGATATTTTTTAAAAATCAGTAATATATACCACAAATGTATTAAAGAAATGCAATTATATGCCATAACATGTACAGTTTAAAGAGCAAATGATAGATATTTACAATATCACAATGTGCAGGAAAGGTGCAAAAAATTATATATACTGAATGTAGTATTGTGGTGTGGTGGTTTGAAGCTGTGCTTTGTACTCTTAACACTTGCTTTATTTGTACCTTTTCTTTGGTAAAATTTGGTGTGGTTTTTGTAACTGTGTTTCGTGGACATACCACTTGTTTTTTTGTTAGGTATAATCTGAGGCCGAGCGAGCACTCACAAACATTTCTACTGGAGGTATAAGGAATTTTTGTGAGCGCTCTGAAACGTTCGCTCTGTTGAACAGGTCTCTGGTGTGGTGGTTGCTACCTGTGTTTTGTAAACGTACCTTTTGTTCAGTATAATCTGGTGTGGTGGACTGTAGCTGTGTGGTGGTTTGTGGCTGTGTGGTGGTTTCTACCTGTGTTTTGTACACCTACCTTTTGTTCGGTATAATCTGGTGTGGTGGTCAGTAGCTGTGTGGTGGTTTGTGGCTGTGTGGTGGTGGTGGCTGTGTGGTGGTTTCTACCTGTCTTTTGTACACCTACCTAATTGTTCGGTATAATCTGGTGTGGTTGTCAGTAGCTATGTGGTGTGTGGTTTGTGGCTGTGTGGAGGTTTGTGGCTGTGTGGTGGTTTGTGGCTGTGTAGTGTGTGGTGGTTTCTACCTGTGTTTTGTACACGTACCTTTTGTTCGGTATAATCTGGTGTTGTAGTCGGTAGCTGGGTGGTGGTTTGTGGCTGTGTGGTGGGACTCTTTGATGCTGTGGTAGGTGGCGCTGTTGTAGGATCACTTAAGTTACCACTCTGTCTTTTGTATAAGGTATGGTGTTGTCCAAAAGATATCACAGAATCTAGCTCTGAATCACTGTTAAAAAGGCTGTAGGCTACTCCTGGAAAAAAAACAAGAATCATATTTTAGAATCACATGTATTTCTAATCTTTTTAAAAATACTTTTCTCATCATGAAATATGCTCATAGCTTGAAATTACAAGCATTCTGAGTAAAGATGTATTCATGTTCCTTTTATGTAATTTTAACCACAATAACCTTTATCTTAAAAATACTTTTGAAAGAGTTAAAGAGTCAACAGTGGTCTTAATGCAGATATTTAAAAACCAAAATTTAATAGGACATAATCCATAATTTTATAATTAGGACATCCAAGGGTTCAATTAAGATATTAAAGGTAAATTTAACTTAAAGGAAAAGTTTTTGGAACTTCCAACCCACTTCAACATATTGATTTCATGGTATTTGAGATATCATAATCTGTATTCTTGAAAATGAAATTCAGCTGTATATGATCAGGGCTTATGTTGATCGAGCATGTTCTAAAAAAAAATCACAATTTTCTGAAGATCAGACGATAGTTGGATACCCAAAAATTTTCTCAGTCCCCAATCAAATTCAAGATAATGAGCCTTGACTGTATTTAACAAAACATTAACATCAAAATAAGGTCTCTAATCTCTCTTGCGACAAAATATTAATGTTCAAGGGGTCGGTAATTTTTTATAAAATTTAAGCAAAGTCCATGAAAATTGTCAAGGTTTTTGTTTTAAGGTTTTCCCTGAAAAAATTATTTAATTTACATTTTATCCATTATTTACCGTTAAATGTGAAGCTTCACCAATTCATACTTTGTGTCTCCAAATTAAACATATGCATATTGTTCTGACTTTCAAAACAGCTACTCAAGCCAGGTACAACTTCAAATTTTATACATTGCAAGATATTTATTTCCTGAAATTTCCTTGAAATACCACCTGGGCATTTTTTCCTTGCTCAGCATTAAACTTCAACACTGTTACATTTATAACATTAGTTAGACGTAAATTACTCATAATTTGTGACAATGAGTTATACAATACACAAGGTAATCTGTATAAGTGTGCACCAAAAAATGTTCCTTTATTATCATGATGATCAGGATTCTAAAACCTATGATAAAACAACAGCTTAATTATAATTATAAAGCCCAGAAGACATTGCATTTAAATTCGATCAAGCTTTTTTTGTTTATTCTAAAGAATTGTGTTTTTGCAATAATGTCTCAAAATTTATTCTGACTTAGACAGTAAGCAGTCTAAGCAAAAATAAAAATTCTATATTTCCTATTTATCTAAGTGCAACAGGATATTTGATTGGTTAGTAGGCCAGGTGTAAATTTCTGTACTCATTGTATCCCAAAAAATTCTTTGTTAGATTTTACATAAGTCCAATCCTATCGATAAGATTCACTGCGTAATTATTGGCTTAGAATCATCACACTTTGTCAGTTGATGCATCTTTGGTTTTCGGAAGGTACTACAATGCATTGTAACGTTATATTATTTGCTTTTTATCATTGGAAAACTATGCATTGTGAAATCATGTTTAATTTAACCCTGGCTCAAGTCAAGTGTACAGAAATTTACACCCTACTTGCTAACCAATCAAATCTTTACTACAAACTAGATAGGAAATAAATATTTTATATATACCCTCAAAATTAAAGGCCTTCATAAGTAATAGTCTACAATTTAAAATAAATATAACCTATAGAAAACTGGTTTATGCGTAAGGCAAGATCTATATTTAAAGTAATACATGTTCAGTTTACACATAAAATATTTACACAAGTGTCTCATTGCACTTCTACGGTATTCCTCTCCATTTAAAAATTTTGCTCTCCATTGAATTTCTGGACTTTGTTACAATATACATATTACTCATAAAAGGTTGAGTAATTTCAGTTACTGTAGATGTACTTTTTTCCACTGGGTCATATTTCCACAGAAACTTTAATTCTGTTCATTCCGATGGTAGAAAATTACACGGATATCTTAAGACTCTCATTGTATGCCTTATATGTTTTTTTTTAAGTTAGATGGGACAAGTTTTCACAGAAAGTTTGTGACAGCATACTGTTACATAGCCTGAATTAATACCACACGGAAAAAAGTACTTCTACAGTATAGCCACCTTACATTAAATTTAAGCGTTCTTGATATTTTATTAAATTAAGAGAAATTTAACATATTTAATTTTATAATTTGTGTACATGTATTTTCCATTTTTAAATATAGCAAAGAGTGACATATGTTTCTTCTGTGATAGATTTTTTTTAATAAAAATATTTAGGTATAAGTGTATTGCTGTGCTGAATATGAAATATTTAAATTTTCATACAATGTCCAAAAGAAAAAAAATCCCATTTTTCATAAGCGTAAATTAAAGGTCCTAAATGTCAAATACCAGTTATCTGTGTGGTCAAAACTTGACCAATTAAACATTTATTTGCATAAATGTCCAACTCGTTGTCTTTCCAGTGACTGCATCATGTAAAAAAAAAAAAAATTATACAGTACGATGAACATATTAGACTCAGGTTAAATGCCAAGCCTCTTTAATTTAGTGACGTATGAATTAACACTAAGCAGCAGACTAATTTCAGTTATGTGTCTATTACCTGTGACCATACAAATTAATGGACATCACAAGAGGGCCCCTTAGGGTCTATTAGGTCAAATGGGTCAATGGTCAAAGGTCAAACATCCTCTGGACCTATCTTATCTCTCCTCAATAAATACACAAATTAAACAAGACTGAAATATAAAAGAATTCTAAATTAGAACGTAAGTTCTTGCTATAAAACAAAGTTACTATCATCATACGTGGGCTTCTTCTGAATCAGAACTTAGTCAAGAACATTTAAAAATAAAGGAAATCTTTGTGGTGATTGGTTGCAGGCTATAATTTACTTGCTGATATGAACTAACTAAATATATAAATTTATGTTTTTTTTCTTTCTATTTTCTCTTTAAAATTGTTTTTATGAGTGTTCAGAGGTTTCTTAAGACTTTATATACCTATTAATTAAAATAATATATGCTGCAACATCTTATCTTTGTCACATAACTTAAAATACTAGAGTTTCAATAAATACAAAGAAAATCTACAAGATTTGGTGTAGCTATAGGTACATATGATGTCACATGAATAATCTGGCTCCTCATTAATTAAGCAGATTAACAAATGATTTAATGACCAGTCTCACAGCGAGACAGTTCGCGGTTTAGCATGGTGCCCCACCATTACAATGAAGTCTGCACTTAAAGTAACATTTAATGACAATGTCACCCCAGAGTATCTAATTTACACTTTCATGTTAATAGAAAGGGACACAGTGCTGCACCATATTTAACTCCAAAATTAATTTTCTAATATCTGAATATGCACAAAGGATAAATTAATATAAACACCTAGGCACTTGATGACTAAAACTTTAGAATCTTCTGAATCTCATTTTTGCATTTTTAATGGAATAATTAAAAAAAAAAATTATTCTATGTCTACCATGAATTCATATGATATGAGTAATATTCATAAATAAGCAATAAAATTCTAAGGTGATTATTTTAACTATACAATCATGTACTTATTTGAGTACTGTTTAATTTTTCATTTACCCCTGATGATATGAATTACGAAGTTTCATTCTTAAAAGATATGCTATCTACACAGAATACATGTGTATAACATCATTATAACATGAGAAATTTATTGTATTTTAAGAAGATGCCAAAATCATCAAATATTGAAAGACATTTATCAAGTTTACATATTTAAAAATATTTTAAAAGGGAGCTAAATTTAAATATAATGCATGTACATAAGCAAAACTTTAAATTTTCCCACATTTTTTTCATTGTAACTATACTATATAATTTTGTTCTATCAGATAGAACTGTGCCTTTAGAAATTTTAGTACAATATTCCTGTTTACCAGTAATTACATTAAAGGAATGTTTAGAAATGTCTAATCCAGTTAGAAAATGCAATCCATGTGTTTAGATAATGCTTTACAAATGTCATGTTTTAAGCCTAGAGGATGATTTTCCAGTCTAGAAAACACAAGATTTAACAACTGATTACAATGTCAACAATTTGGATTCTTTTTAAAACTTTGTCTAATAAAAAAAAGACACAAAATGAAATTTTCGAGACCAATGTTTCAGATTAACATAAAAAGAGAAAAACAATATCAAATCAATATAGAAAAGAAATATTTATTTTTTCATTTTTTTCCTCAAATATTGTATTCTTAAATCAAAATAGGGGAACATTAAAATAAATAATTTTATTAAATACTTTTTTATAAAGAAATGATAAACTAACTAATTAACACAATACCAAATTATAACTTATAATAATGATTACATAGAAAACCATGTTTTTGCAAAATCAAATAAGGTGCATTGATGGCCACATTTTAAAGGTGCATAACCAAAAGGAATTTTTACAATTACATAGTAATACATTATGTACATGGTATGTTCTTAAGGAAAATTTCTTTGGTTATGAAACTAGGAAGCTGACGTACTGACATGATTTTCTGTCACGGTCTTTTGAAATGTGCTGATCGTTTACACCTTAAAATTACACAACCTATATACCCACATTATATGACCAAAATAACCCAAAACGTGACTGCATGTTTAAAAGCCTGACATCATCAGCTATTTTATTTTTCCAATGCGTAATACATCTTAAATTTCCACCCCGAGTCACAAAATGGTTATTGAATGAAGTCGTGTGATGTTTAGATTTGAGGCCATTGGACTGTGACCAATATTTGTATATACCTTTAATCTTATTTTCTCAATATTTTAACCTTCAAAATGTTTTAACCCTTCAAGGTCCATTTCATTCTTTTAATGATTTATGATGCTAAAAATGACACAGGAAAAGATGGAAGTTAATTTCTTTTAAACTTTCGATTCACTTTAGGTTAATGGGAAAAAAACATTGATTGCCTATCTAATTGGACAACATATATACACAGGGAAACTCACTAAAAGCTGCATGAATTATTAACATCTGAGACTGCAAAGAGAGAATGTCACACAGAAAAAAAAATCCACTCTTACTATATATCCTATTCAACAAAAACAAAACAACTATTGAATAATTAATTTGATGGTCCCCTAAAAAGTATGTTAGATTTCTTAAACTTACATTTTACAGGGCAGGTGAGAATATGACAAACAATAATTCTACCTTTGTTTGCCTCATCTTTGCAAAATATATAACAAATTGTTCAATTCCTATTTCCTCACCCCCCTCCCCCCCCCCCCAAACAAAAGAAAGAAAATCTCTGAATCAACTGCATCTGAATATAAAATCTCATTCTGATTTCATAATTCAATGTATTTATAATGGACATGAATCTCCATACACCCCAAAAGTCTTCTGAATTCATTCAATTCGTAATTCATAAACAAATCTTACGAACTTGTAAACTGAGCAAAGATCTAGTAAATATTATAAATTCAACACACGGTCCTTCACCCACATAAGAATTACCCAACATAATGTATGCCAAATAAACATGAAACAAAACCTTTAGGGTGTGTCCCCCTATTAAGTTAAAATATCAGCATTATCATTCAAGCTAATTCTGACAAAAGCCATACACCCCCCATCCACATCCTCTAGTTCAACACTTGTACATTTCTCCTGGCTTCCCCCTCCCTTTCATGTTACTATACAATGTGATTCTCTCCTCATCGTGCCCCCAGCTGACATATTTCATACAAACTCCTGTAGATTGTTTGTAAACAAAACAGATTCCTGGGCTGGCGGTCGGCTCCGATTCTTACACAGTTCTGTCACTCATCGCATTCTCTGCCAAACTGAAGCGGTTTTCTAAATCTCTACACCTAAAACTGATGGATTCTGAACTGACAACAGGGAGAGAGAGAGATGTGTATTGTATTGCTTGCAAGGAAAAATATACTACATTGTTTTCCAGAAAATAAGCACATCTGGCCTAGAAAAAGAAAAACTACATCATGTTTTACGAGACTGGCAAAATCTCATGTGTAACGAGATTGGCAATATCATCTTAGCTAGACTTAGGTATAACGAACTGACAAAATCAACATCGAAGTATTCTTCTTCTGCTACATTTATATGCATAACTGCCATTCACACATTTCTTCAACTGCCGCCACTTATTCATGTACTTAACTGTGTGCACCGTGTTCTATGCTAATTGCACTATTATCTACAGAAATACTTTATCATTTAACGGTAGCTACTCCATCTCACACACCAGACACCAGGATCCATCTTATTTTGGTGTATACATATCAATTTTGTCTCTACATACTCCAATAATAACCCCTCCCAATATTAATACTGTAAAATCACATATTTTTAAGAGGTCAAATTTTCCAGGTTTGAGAAAAATTTAACACTGGTTTGTTGGAAATTGATTTCGTGGTTGGAAAATGTTTTGTAGTACTGTAATGCATATGAAATTTTACATTTTGTGGTGGTCATAAATTTGTGGTTCTCTCTGTCCCTCGAAAGCAATCAAAATTAAATCCCCATGACAATTAGTGATTTCACAGTACCCAGTATGCTTTCTTGCATTTTAAATTTCAATAAACCTAATGAAACTTTTTTTTTCATTTTGTGTTCAAATATCATTGTTTTTCCTGAATACTTAAATAATTTTTAATATCACAAAAAAATATAATATTTTAATGAACTTAATTTCAAACTAATTTCACTTTGCATTCAAAATATCATTATTTTCCATGATCAATACTTATATTTTTTAATATTGCAAATATTAACAACTAAATATTCATCTTTAAGAAAAAAGGAGAACTTTCATGTAAAGTGTTGTAAGAAATGATCAAAGAGAAATGTAAAGTCGTCATGAATATATACCTAGATCCCTCTCTCTCATTCATCAGAGTTCACTGAAGCTATTTCTACGTAAAAAAATAGCCCTCCCTAATTTGATAAATTGTTCATGTCTGTCCCATGATCCAACAAACAAATCAACAAAATTCTCTTGCTTCGACTGTAAAGAACTTCTTTCACTTGAATATACTACAAGATATATATGTGTGGTGTGTTATCACCCATGTTCTTTATAAATCAAATTTTCAACTAACTAATGCTTAAGTCATCACAATTTCATGTAAGATGTTAGAATCTTTTTAATTAAAATGCTAATTAGGTCAGTGACCCAATGACAGGAGAAACTGATGAATGATTTCAGGCACTGCAGTTTTAATATTGATATTTTTTCATACCATACTCATAAATTTTTCATACTGTACTCATTAATTTTTTTTTTTTCAATTAGTACAAAAATTTATAAAAATTATTCTGGTAGATTTATTTAATCATTAATGTGTGACTCAATATATAACACTCGAAGTTGACAGATCATATGTTATACATTTAACATGTTAAATACTCAATAAGTTATACATTTTAAATGTAATGAATGTAATATTGTATAAAACAAACCTATAAATTGCAATATATCCAATATTTTTTTTTATTAACATTTATTTTTTTAACTGGTCATATCTCAAAAGTTGTTAGACCTTGAAACTACAATATTTATACATGTATAATAAAATAGGCTCAATTTCATAATAATTGATTTTCTCAATACTAAATGTCCCCAGGATTGAATTTTAAGAACATTTATTTGAGTCATAGCCCTATTTTCTCCGAGTATCCTGAATATCACGATTACACAATGAAGGGCAATGTGGTATAAGCTAGTTGTAATTATACACCTATAACGCCTGCATTAATTTCTTTTTCAGAAATAAACTCATGCAAATGTTTTAAATCAATGTAGGACAAATAATATATTTTCAAAGCAAGTACATTAAAGTTTACTAATGCAATGCCCCATTGTTTCATGTGCAGTATCTTAAAAAATTAGATTTGTTTTCTATAAAATTTGATTTGTTTGAAAACTGAAATCTTCAATCAATATGATCAAATTTTTGTCATCTTTTTGAATACCATTTTTTTATTTTTGTGACAAAAATGGGACGGTTTATATTGAACTTGGTAAAATACAAGTGTGGGCTATCCAGAGCAGTTGACAGAGAGCTGACTTATTATTAGTGTACATGTACAACCAACTGACTCAGTTTCCTTAACTCAATGACAGTCGCTCTCTAACAGAATGAGGGATCCACTTCAACTGTCCAATACAGGATATCCTATTTTGTTTATAAGACACCTAACATGCTCTAATTGAAAAATGATTAAATGGATTTTATTCTTTAATTAATACACCATAAATGCTGGTACCAAAATATATGTATTTCTGTCTAAAGGTATTTTATAAGCATGTAAGGTATCAGCTGACCACTGAACATGCTGAACAAAACATATACCAGGTATACATAAATGAAACAAAAGTGTTTCAATATTTACTTTGGTGCCTATATAAGGGTGTATTTCACTGGTCAGTTAAAATGAAATAATTCAATAGAATTGTGTTTTGGTTACAAGCGTCATCTTTCTGTATTTCATATTTTACTGCTTATAATTATTTATTAATTGAAAAGAAGAATTTAAAACTCCAACATTGCAGACTGAAGGGTTAATATCAAATTTTAATCTTGTGTAAACTCTGTCCGTGCCAAGTTTTACCTGTAATGCACAAGCTCAGTAGACCGTGAATAAACTGAATTAGGACAATGAATTTCCTAAAATGACTTCCTTAGTCCTTTGAAATAAATATTTACATTACACACTGGGTATTGCCAGTCAAGTATTGATTTGATCTGTATTTTAGCACTGAATGTCTTTGAAATTCCATATTACAAAAGAAATTCTAAAACAGGAAGAAAATTTTGAAGAAGAGAACTATGTATGTGATTTAATCCTCAACCCCCCCCCCCTCCCCATTCCTTCCTAACCATAAATATTTCTCTGTCTATAGATCAAACTGTATTTTCAAGTTACACGAACTTTGTTTCCAATTTACTCTTCTCCACTGGGATCTGATAAATATATTGCCCTGTTAACAAAGTAGATGGGGTTTTGCAATACGTACACTGGTCAGAGAATGATATTGATTTTATAGTTCTCCTTATAAACTGGCAATGAAAATAATGTCAAGTGAAGTTTATGTTAATAGTGTATGAATAGAAATTTTGAGAATTTTAAATAGTAATTCAATTCAGAGAAGAGGACATTTTCTAAATTTGCAGATAACATATAATGATTTTTTTTTTAATTGATTATCTCTTATGTAAAAATCTCATTCATGCAACAGTAATGCAATTTGCAAAAGATTGTAATCTTATCACATGCATGATTGACAATGTGGTCTTTTACAAATGACATAGAATTATAAATACAGCAGCTGTACAATAATATCGATAAAAATTCAATTTTTGGAATAATTTTATTTTCAATACCTGGCCAGAATAAAAGTTAAAAAATTATGGTGAGTCACACTGAGAGAGAGAGAGAGAGTAACTTTTAACTTTCACTATATTTCTACTACGTTCTTTTTATCACCGAGCAAATTCTAGCTACAAGATCGCAGAATAACTTCAAAAACCAGTAAAAACTAATTAATAAGTTACGGAGAATGAATATTAATTACTTTTACTCATTAGTGGTCAACAGTTGTGACAGAACAGCATCATTTCCGCATCAATAAGCATGCATACCTAATCATTACATAAATTTCAGGTAAAATCGCCAGGTAAAAAGTGGGATTCGCCGGTCGAGCAAAATTTCGGTTTTAAAAAAATTACTAAGCAATGGAATAGATTTAAAACAATAAACTCACCTTCAGAAAAAGATAATTCCACTTGTGAACTTATGAAAAATGTTACTATTACAACTGATTCGAGGAGAGCCCACCGAGTTGTCGCCATGTTGTTTGTAATTTACAAAATCTCGGGAATTCCCCCGAGATCATACCGAGATCTTCCAAATTTAGACGAATGAGACGAGGAATCTTATTGGTCGAAATGAAACAACAAGGCAAGCGTATGGGAAATTCAACTTGATGCTGAAGGGGAAAAACAACACAATTTTATGTGAGTATTCTGTCCCACAATGAAATTAAAAACTTCATTTTTGTTGGAATTTATGGAGCAAATATTGAAATGAATTCATCTCACGCACGAAGATCACTCTGTAGACTTGGTAAAGGATAATTTGAAGCTGCGAACTGACTGACAGCACTGGCTTATGACAATCATGCTGGCTTTATTGCACTGACATATTCTGAGAATGGTATTCTCAATCTCATAAATTTGAATTTAAAGACACCAATGTCCTGCACTCTGACTGTATTTTACTTTAAAATTATGTTACGTTATAGATTTAAGACTAAGTTAAAGACAGTGTTTCCTTATTGAACTTTTTAATTTTTTGAATGGTCTTTCTTTAAGAAATGGATAGGCTTTTGCTTACATCCAAATCTCTTCGCAGGCTGTCAGGTTGATTCTGAGAACGTTGTAAAACCTTGATGGCTTACACTGTACCGCTGACAGCCTTCTTGCAACTAAAATTTCGTCAGAAATATGTCTGATTTTAGTAACAGACGTGTTAAGGGGATGAAGGATGTATGGTCCTTACTTTGATTTACTTTCTCTATATTTTTTACTTGTATAATTTTTTTGACTGTTTGTTTGCGTTCACCATCTAGTATAAAAATATCTGAAAACATTCAAAATTTCTTGCAAATATTATCAAATTACGGAATAGAAATCCACTCTGCCGTTTCCCCACAGGCTCTTTGCGTCATAGTATCTCTTATAAAGATCATACATGGTAAAAACAGGTAGTATAAAATCATAAAAACGGGTCATAATATGTACATGGTAGGGTATTTTGTAAATTTCAGAACGCAAAGAATATTTTTACATGGTTGTTGACGGAAAAGTTCTGTGGATTGTCTTATTTCAGGAATGTGTGACGTCATAGTTGGGTTTTCCCGTACTCGAGAAATGTAAACATGACACGTTTTTCTCATGATCATGACTCGTTTAACTTTGCCCCGTGCAATATTGAGCTCAGCTTCACCAATCGATATTTTTACAGTTAATCAATACAATGACGACCTTGAACTTCGGCCAAATTAATTTTTTTATGGTTTAAGTTGTCACTCTTGCTTTTTCGACCCTATTCATACTCTAAAATATTTTAAAAGACACATCTCCGATATTTTTTATCAGCCTACACTTGCAGACACTGTGGGGTATGGTAACTCAATATCTCGTAAGTCAGAAACCTATTGAAATGTCTGCTTTATAGTATGTAGGACATACTAAATAAGATATATACAAAATATGAAAAAAATTAAATGACATATTTTTTCAGTGTTAAATTAACAATTTCAACATAAATTTATACAACTGTCACAAGAAAACCAACATTTAAGTGTTTTTAATCCATTTTCACAAGTTCTCCGTCCCGGAGTTTTTGATTTTGAGCATATAAGTCCAGAAGGACACTCGAAGCTCCTCGGGTGGCTTGTGCCTTGCACCAATGAATGGATAGTGGTGTCAGCCGAGGATTGCTGATTGTGGTAGAAAAAGCATTAGTTTGAATCAAGGAATGAGAGCTCATAAATATGGATAAAAGATATATAATTATTGGATTTCTTGTGACATTTGAGTTTATTTATGTTAGAATTTTTAATATAACATGTACGTCTGTTATGTATAATCAGATATAATTCAGACAAAATATTAGTTGAAGTGGTAGGCTGTCACAGGTTTGACATTTTACGCGTTTTCCAGAATCAAAACAAGACGGCCTGCGAAGAGAAGTGGATGTTGGCAAAAGCCTGTTCACCACTCTAAAGAAAGTAGGTCAACCCCACTTTTCAATCATCGATGATCATGATGATATGAAAAAAAGTAATAAATATTGTTCATTCAGTGAAAATAAGATAAAAAAAAATAATCGTTAAGGAAGCAGGTGTGATGCATGCTTAGTGCACTGTTTCTTTTGTACTTAGCCTTATCTATACACAAATCAAAGAGATGTCATTGAAGGCAAGCTAAATTAAGATCTTGCAAAAACACACATGCAACTGAATTTATTAATTAATCTCAAAATACTCGACACTTACCCTAATCTCTGGGATGGTATGCAAGGACTTACCCAAATCTCCAAGGTGGATACTAGAGTAGCCCATTATTTGAAGAAATCTACATTGGATTTAATCACATGACCAACCCATATTTACATCCCAATAAAATTTTTAAAATGAACGCAGCTTATTTTATAAGTCTTTCATATTGAGTTTCATTCTGATCATAAATATTTCACAAAATTGTATGATTAAATTAGTTATTTTAATTGATCTTTCAGGGGAATTTACTGACCAAGGAACATTTCTCTGAGACTGGTGTAGAATGGTAAATAATTATGCATACAAAATGTTGTATGAAGCCCGCTTTTTTAAGTACATGTAAAGTTAGTATATAGGATTTGTCTTTGACAAACCATAAGAACCAACAGAATTAAAATTACTATAATAATCATGATAATGGTTTGTTTGTTTTTAAGTTCACAAACCATTACTTCTATATTTTTTTCCCTTATAAAGTTACATTTGTTGTGATGATTTTATATTTTTATTTTTATGTAGATTCCACAGTGATGAAGAGAACTTCTGTTAGAACAGAGTCCCTCTCTGGACGACAAGCCAAGAAAACAAACAGCTACGGTCCAAGGTTTGTTATTTGCTTTTGAGATTTTAATTCTGTATACAGAGAAATTTTTGCCTCGATTTATTTTTGCTCCTTTTGCCCTACTCTTGTTTGGGCAAATTTAAAATGGGGCGAATTCAAATAATATAGTATAATTTCTTAAACAAAATCTGACCAGGCGAATTTAAAATGGGGCAAAATTGAAAGGTTGAAAATAACAGGGGGCAAAAATAACCCTGTATACAGCATGTACAGTAGCCACAATGTATACAATTGTATCTTTTTAACTCACTCCACCATTCTTCCTTTTTTTCACTCATGTCCCTTTTGAATTTTTATCGGTTGAAACAAAATGAGAAATTAGCATGATTAGTCAACCATTTTAATCAGTATGATTTTTATAAATCTGTTTCAGTAAAATTCCCCAGTATTTTCCTGGGGAAAAGAAAAAGACGAAAGCAGTGCCAGACTTTGGCAAACTCCATGAAAAATGGCAGAAACAACTAGAAGTCGGCAAAATTTGTAACAAGAAACCACAGACAGTGGTGAGGCCAGCTCTTATTAATGCTAGAATATGCTAGTGGTGTTTCGATTATCGCCGAATCTATCGCTGAAACCCAACCGATTTCGATTAATCGGATTGAAATTTGAGATCGATTAATTGGTAAAACCTGTAAATGTACAAGTTTACAAAGAACGAACTGTTGTTGACACGAATAGTCGAATACACTAGCTACATTGGCAAAGATGGCGGCGCCCTGTGTCGCAGACAACGAGGACAACCAGCGAGAAATACTTCCCTACCCCGGCACTAAATCGAGTCTGCCGATTCGAACAAAACTTAGACATGCAGGGCCGTCAAAAATTTGACGTTTTGTGTATTCCCAATGGCACAAAGTGCTAGATTTTCCCAATTTCATACTTAAAAATTCCCCAAAACGTGTTTTCTTGTTTATATCACCTAATTTTCCACACATGCATCCTTTATTTGATCCATTTAGCAGTAATGCATGGTTGATTTTAATCTGCAACATCCCTGTCATGATCGTTTATTTCTAACTCGAATTTCCTCTGTCATGAATAGCCTATAGATAGGTCATACGTAGATTGGGTTGGAATGATAGCATTATTTAACAAGGATAACCATTATGAGTTAGTTCATAAAATAAATGAATATATTTTTAAGTGAATTATAAGTTAAAATAAACTCTTGGATACTATCTATTTCATTTGCATGTGTTAAATGTCCATAAATTGTAGATCTAGGCAATTTTATGATATTACCTTTAAAAGGAAAATTTTAAATTTTTAATAATTTCAATAAAATTATTTTTATAATTAAATTTTTGATTTATATAAGATGCAATTAAACAGTAAGAAATACCCCCCCCCCCCTCATTTTTCAGTCTCTGTATTAGTGAAAATTTATAAAAAAAAATGCCTGCCTAGTAAGTAAATGTTTGATCTGTTAAATATAGATTTTATCAGACCTTATGACTGATGTCCTGTAAATTTTGGCTTTTCAAGTATACTTTTCAAAGTGATAAATGGCTTTCATGATTAAATATTTTGCTTGGAAAGGGGGGGGGGGTGTTAATTCATGAAAGTATGTTTAAAATTTTCCCAATTTGACAAAAATGTTAAATTTTTCCCAAACGGTACTGCGACAGCCCTGACATGTCAAAGCCGTTTGCAAACTCTGCAGGCGAACGTTAGCCAATAAAGGTACTACATCGACTTTAAGCTCTGTCGTCCTTGGTAAGAAGTTTGGGAAAACGCTATACACGCCCCTTTTTTTCACCAGGTTGTTATGTATTTTGTTAGTTACAAGTAGTTAGTACTAGTTACTAGTTAGTAGTTACCTTGTTATTGTAATTGCCAAATTTCATGTTAATAAGTTGTTAGTTACATTGAATAGTAAAAAAAAAAATTTTATAGAGTCATATATCCTTTATTTCACATATGTTTCAAAATAAATATGGAAACCGATTAATTCGATTAATCACTAAAATCGGACTCCGATTATTAACCGATAATCGGTTTCAGATTTTTTCCGATTATACAACACTAGAATATGCTATGTGTATACACATTACTATCCAGTCCCTAATTTATTTATGAACACAAACACAGAATAAAAATTTTAATTTGACTTGGAAAGTTGCTATTAGATGGCAGATAAAAGAAAAAGGTGTAAAAAATGAGGGCCTCTGTGCTCGATTTAGTCAATCTGACTCAACGATCTTACGCATTTTCCAATTTGTCTTATGTACAAATGTCAAACTTCTAGCGATTTGACATCCAAAATGCTGCACAGTAGATGTTTATGATATAAGTTAGAGCTTGAAAGAGGAAAGTTAAAGATGCCCCTAGATCATCTGAACTGAAGGGAATAAATGTTAAACATGTTTTATTTGCCTTGTAGCCCACTGAGTTTAAGCTGAGCAAAAGCAGCAAGGCTGACCAGCCCCAATATGCCAAGAAACAGTTATTCTCCGATGAAGAATTTGAGGTGGACCATAAGTCTCTGGATGCCATTTTGCGTGGACTGCCGGGACGTGGCGTAGCTTCAAGAAGAGCAACAACAGCCACGGGAAGAGATGTGTAGGTGTTTCATGGGCTTGAAGGACAAAGGATTAATTTATTATGCTTGTTTGGGGGGTCCACATTAATTTCTGCTTGCCTTTTAAAAATCATGCCAGTCCCTCAAAACTTTTTTGTTGAAGAAAGATGGATAGTATGGTTTTATATTTGATGATTACTGATACTTTTCTGATCAATCTCAGTTTTGGGAAGGTTTTTGATATCCATTCCACATCGTACAAAGCCTACATTTAGGAAAACCTGCAGAAAGATTATGATTTTTTAAAATTAAATAGACAGCATGTGCCATACTGCCACATCCATTGTGTACAATGTTTTCCCTTTGCAATAAATGCACTTAAATCTTGTAGAAAGAGGAGCCAAAGTTGTAACAGCATAGGAAGTAGACGGGTCCTTGGAGAGCTACCATTGGACCAAGATCAAACTTCCAGGGCCAACAGACGAAGAAGTCGGAGCGCCAGGGCAGAGGTCCCCCTCAAGGTCCTGAAGGAGAGTGCTGGTAAGTTCCTTTGGTCTCAAAAATTAAATTCCATTAAAAATTCAGTACATCAATTTTTTGTGATCTTTTCAATGTAAGGCAAAATTAAAGGCATTTAGGGACTTAAAAAATCCAATGTTTTCAGAAGTGAAGTTTGAGCCAGACCCCCAGGCTTTGCGTAGTATCATCAGCAGTGAAGGAATGACCCCGTCACGAGTTGCAGCTCCCAAGCGACAGACCACCACAGGGGCGGTCATCAGACAAGTAAATTAGGCCTTTATTTGTTTGTTTCTCTTTTGTATGATCCACTGTACAAGTTAAAATCAGGTTTTCTATTTTAAGATAGAACTGAAAATGTTTACATTAAGAAATTTCAGTTTTAAATATCTTTAATCTAATTAATAGTTCTTATTTTTCTCAAAATTTATTATTTAACAGTATTTTTTTTTTAAAAAAAAACAAAAAAACCCAATAATTTTAATGTGTTAAATTCATAATCTTTTTACTGCATACTACTGTTTTGATCTTGAAAAGACAAACTTGAGATTAAATCCAATTTAACTTAAATGAAAATGTACCATATACTACTGTAAAACGAGAATATTTGGCGCACTACTAATTTTAGCGCCTTTGGCGCAAGAGCCCCTGAACGCTAAAATTTATTGTGCAATAACGGATTTCTAAAATATTAATTTTTGTGTGTGTGCAAAGTTATTACATAAATACGTGTAAACCGGAATGCGCGATTACTTAATGTCGAATGGTCGTTGAATTTTATATACACACTAGCACTGCACATGGTAGGATCGATAAAGAAAGTTCTGCCAAATTATAATTTAATTAAACTATTGTTACCCCGGTAGTTGTTACCCGAATCTTATCATTAGCACCTTCAAAGTTTGGCTTCTCGGCGTATCAATCATCTATCGCCTCGAGGTAAACAATGCAATCAAGCATGGTGATTGACGTTGCAGACAATACCTGATTATGATTACCATTTATCCAAGTAACTTTCTTTCTATGCATGGATTGATTTAATGTGAATAAAATGTGTAAATACTCTATTTCTTTTATTCAAAATAAAAATAAAATAAATTGTAAGCCACAATAAAAATATTCCTAGATTCTCATCCCCGCCCGCCCCGATTTTATACCCCCACCTCGATTTTTTTTATTTCTGTTTTTAGCTCACCTGAGCCGAAGGCTCAAGTGAGCTTTTCTGATCAAAATTTGTCCGTTGTCTGTCGTTGTTGTTGTTGTCGTCGTCGTAAACTTTTCACATTTTCGACTTCTTCTCAAGAACCGCTGGGCCAATTGCAATCAAACTTGGCACAAAGTATCCTTGGGTGAAGGAGATTCAAGTTTGTTCAAATAAAGGGCTACACCCTTTTCAAAGTGGAGATAATTATGAATTAGAGAAAAATTAATGGCATTTTTAAAAAATCTTCTTCTTAAGAACCACTGAGCCAGGAAAGATGGAACTCATGTGGAATCATCCTCAGGTAGTGTAGATTCAAGTACGTTCAAATTATGACCCCCAGGGCTAGGGTGGGGCCAAAATGGCCGACCAAAGTTTTACATAGGAATATATAGGAAAAATCTTTAAAAATCTTCTTCTCAAGAACCACTAGGCCAGGAAAGATGAAACTCATGTGGAATCATCCTCAGGTAGTGTAGATTCAAGTTTCAAATCATGACCCCCGGGGCTAGGGTGGGGCCAAAATGGCTGACCGAAGTTTAACATAGGAATATATAGGAAAAATCTTTAAAAATCTTCTTCTCAAGAACCACTGGGCCAGGAAAGATGAAACTCATGTGGAATTATCCTCAGGTAGTGTAGATTCAAGTTTCAAATCATGACCCCCGGGGCTAGGGTGGGGCCAAAATGGCTGACCGAAGTTTAACATAGGAATATATAGGAAAAATCTCTAAAAATCTTCTTCTCCAGAACCACTGGGCCAGGAAAGATGAAACTCATGTGGAATCATCCTCAGGTAGTGTAGATTCAAGTTTGTTCAAATCATGACCCCCGGGGCTAGGGTGGGGTCAAAATGGCCGACCCAAGTTTTACATAGGGATATATAGGGAAACCTTTAAAAATTTTCTTTTCAAGTACTTCAAAGCTATGATTAGTGATATTTATATAGATTCATCCTCAGGTAATGTAGGTAATGTCTAGTTTGTTCAAATGATGAATGCCTGGGGGGGGGTTAAATTCAAGCCCGATGTGCTCAGGTGAGCGCTGTGGCCCCTGGGCCTCTTGTTCTTCGTTTTACAGTATGTTATGTAAATTTTCTGTTTTGAAATAAAGGAGAGGCCTTCAATCTATGATGCGATGACAAGTTCCCGACATCTGAATTCTAAATTTGCTGCTGTGCAGTTGGCCAGCAAGGTGTCAAAGGTCACCCATCCCAAGAGCCGTAAGTAAAGGGGGAAAATTAAGAACAAAGGTAATGCTCTGTGTCAAAGAATTCATAGCAGGGATGTCTAGGGCTGTGTATTGAGCCAAAAATTTCGATACGATACGGTACAATAATTTTTAAAGCGATATGCAATATATTGGATTCTAAAACAAGTCCATCAGAAAAGGCTTATAAATCATTTTAATGCATAACTTTCATAACAATTAAGTGTTTTATTACCCATTTTAAAGTTCTTGTCTCATCGACATTACAAATAACACTTCAAATGAAAACTTTTAACGACAGTAAAATCAACATGTTCAAATTCAATTCTCTTTGTATTTTGTAACAATTATAAAAACTGTGTTATTTCCTTACAAATTATATAATTAAAAATAATTGAGCAGTTTTATTTCAAAAAACTGAAATATAGTCTTTGGTGATTGAAATTCTCATCTTTTTAACAGAATTAGAAGAAAAACTGTTTGTCCGATACGTATTGGAAGTTATTTTTCGATACAATATTTTTATTGAATATCGATACGTATCGATATATCGATGTATTGATACAGCCCTAGGGACGTCTTGATAAGGAAGTTATTAAAAGTTGTTAATATCAAGTCTTTAGTTTGGCACAGTTATGAATCAATTTTGGTACAGATTCTTGTTGAAAAATAATTCCTGTGTAGTGTATTGAAGATATCAAAGGAAACAAGGTTTGAAAATATAAAATGAGGCGAAAGGTGTTTTTATTATTCATTCATAAAATCCCATCATTTTAACTTGTGAAAAGAATATAGGTATGGAAATATTTTCAAAGATTTCAAGTTGTTTATTTGATTTGAAAATATATCTAGATACTAGTAGATTCAGGGATTGAATATTTTAGGACCTCCAGGCAGTCCTGTACAGAGGGCCACACAAGCTTGTCGAGATCCTCCCCAGAACCACCCCCGAAAACCGATAGATCAGCAGCTCCAGTCACTGGGTGAGTTACTGTCAGTAGAACCACAAATGTAATAGAATAGGAATCTGGGGCCCATTTTACAAAAGATCGTAAATTGTAAATAATTAGTCTTAAAATTTATTATTGTACAACATGTCATAGGACCGTTTTACAAAATATTCCCAACTGCATGTCGTAACTCCTAAATCATAAGTATGACTTCTTCTAGTAAATTGCAAATCTCTGTAAAACAATCTCTTGTCTTAAGTTCGGTCAAATGACCGGGCCCCTGATTCAAGCCTGGGGGCCATAAAACTTAGATGAGCTCACTTTTGATCTCAGTCTCACTTTTTTCAAAGGAATTAATAGTGGAAAATTGATATTGAGATCAAAAGTGAGCTCATCTAAGTTTTATAGCCCTCAGGCCAGGAGCAGAATCGAGATCTCTGCAGTTTTAGTAAATTATGTCCCCATTTTTGAGAAAAAAATCTTCACAACAAAGTGTACAGTTAATAATTGATAAACCCAAGGATAAGACAGAGTCTAACACAATTAAAGAAACAAATGTCAAAGTAATTAAACAAAGATTATTTTGTTTTTATTTGTGTTGGTGGATATTGGCACTTACTAGAGTTTTAAAAATGCACACAAATGCACATGAAATTGAAAACTAACTTGTGTGCAAAACTTCAGGCCTGTGATTAAACATTTAGTAATTCTATAATGATAATGTTAAGAAAGACAACCCATGAGTATGAAATAGAAACAATAATATTATTTAATCTTAAAGGAATACTCAATTTCAAATGATTCAAAAAATGTCAAAAAAAGTATTTCTGTATATACTGTATGGAAGCATTGTGTTGTGTCTCAGACATGTTATATAATGTTTTTTAGCTGATGAGTTTGAGGTTGACCCTCAGTCAATGAGAAACATCATTAACAGTGAAGGACTGACCCCTGTCAGAGTTACTGCCCCTGTCAGGAAGACCCTGGGAGGACCAATCATAAGACAGGTAACACATATAACAGTCAGAGTTACTGCCCCTGTCAAGAGGACCAATCATAAGACAGGTAATACATATAACAGTCAGAGTTACTGTCCCTGTCAGGTGGGAGGACCAATCATACGACAGGTAATACATATAACAGTCAGAGTTACTGCCCCTGTCAGTAGGACCAATCATAAGGCAGGTAATACATATAACAGTCAGAGTTACTGCCCCTGTCAGGTGGACCAATCATAAGGCAGGTAATACATATAACAGTCAGAGTTATGCACCTGTCAGGAAGACCCTGGGAGGATTTCAAATTTCAATGCAACAGGCAGATGGCTATCCCTCTTTTTAACTTGGAAGAAATATAGATTTTTTTCCCTTTTCAATATATCAACAAAATTGTTCAGCTGTGTTTAACCTGAAGCAAGGGGGACTGAGAAACTAAAAACTAATTTTTTTTTTTTTTTTTTTTTTTTTGCCTAAAAATTAATTTGGTGTTATAAATTTCAGGAAAGGCCCTCAATCTACGATGCCATGACGAGCTCCAGGAACCACTCGGTGTTTGGGAACGTGAGGTTATCAGAGTATAGAGCGGGGCCCAGGACAGGGAAACTTCTGTCTGGAGCAGGTTAAAATAATTCAATTTCTCTCGCATTAAAATCATTTTTTTAGAATTGAGAAATTCTCTCTCTCTCTCAAAATAATGAAAGTGAACGTGAAAGATTTGTTTAAAGAATTATGTGTAATTGTTTTACTAGCATCATCGCCTGCACAGACTGCGTTGCCCTTTGGGAGGACCCCAGCTAAAGGCCCTGTGCCAGACCTCATTAAAAGTGCCACCAAAAGTGAGGTAATGATTCGTCAAACTGTGGACCAGGTTTGATCACATATAAAAATTTGATTGTCAGCTTTTAGCTCATTGAAGTCAAAAGCTTAAGTGAGCTTTTCTGGTTTGAAAAGTTATAAAATTTGATGGTCGTTGTTTAGCTCATTGAAGACAAAGGCTCAAGTGAGCTTTTCTGATCAAAAACCTTCTCTCCTATGTCTCTCAGTTGGTATCTGTTGTGCATTGTCTATAAACTTTTCAAATTTTCAACTACCGAAGAACTACATATCAATACCAACTGAACTTGAGACAAATTTTCTCTAGAATAAGGAGTGCTATATAGTAAACAGCCACAGAATATGTGGAAATAGAATTTACACAAAATCTGTATGTTGCAGTGATACCTCATGACCTTGGCCTTGGAGTTTCATGAAAACATCTTAAACATTATGTTATGTATAGTTAAGTTTATTGAAGTAATGACCCTATGTGTCAGGCCACAAATGACAATAGGGGTCAATATATAGGGAAAATCTTTTTTAAGAAAATTATAAAGCAGCAGAGCCAACATGAATCAAGTGGGCAAGTGGTCTTCAAGTCTTATGTCTGTGTTGTTGTTTTTTTTTTTTCATTTTAAGATTAATACCCAATTAACAATTCTGTAACCTCTTTGTAGGCCAGAAGGGTGTTAAGGAATGAATGTGGCATTATGGCAGAGGGACCAACAAAGAAAGCTGGAGAACAAGTGAGTATTATACAAACGGAATGCTCTTGTGAAATCACTAATTTTCATAGGGTTCAATTTTCATTGTTCTAAATACCCCCTGCTTGAAAAGTGGGAAGGTATATAGTGATCGGGATGTTCATCCGTCTGTTTGTCCATCTGTCTGTACATCCATCCATTATGCTTTGGGGTACCCATCTTTTATCCGCAATGCCTTTTATACCACTGAATGAAATTTATTGAGACTTTCAGAGAATCTTTGTTGCATAGTGTCATTCTGTACCTCTTAATTTACTTTTTGAAAAGACACAAATTTTGGGTTGCCCATAGCAAAACATGGATACTGGTATTCATTCTATAGTATTGAAGGGTACCCATCTTTTATCCACAACTCCTTCTATAACAATAAGTATATTTAATGATACTTTGACAGACTCTTTATTACATAATGCCCTTGTGCATCTCATTTTACTTTCTGATCTGACACTTATTCCGGGTCTCCCAGAGCAAATGTGGACTTTGGCATTATACAATCATATGGGAGGCTGGGGGTATCATTTAATGAGCTCAGTGCTCACAGTACCTCTAGTTTATAAATTACAAAACACTTTGCAATTCAACATTTCTTAACTTATTTCAGAAACACGTAAAATGGGCCGATGTGTTTGAAGAATCTACTACAGAAGAGAAGGTTAGTAATGGCATGGAGATATAATATAAAACATCATAAGGGCATGTACATTTAATGCCTGAAGACTCATTACCAGAGCTGACAATCCTTATGAATTTGTTTTTCTATGAAATTTGTTGTTTTTATATATTGATTGAGCATTTAAAATATGCATTATGTTTTATCTGTTTAGTTTTCCAATTTCTTTTTTCCTCTGTCAAAAGTTTTATGGAGTCAAACTTCCATGGTTTAAGGTGGGGATGTTTGAATTTTAATTTGTGGATAAAGAAGTGAAGTTTGCCTTGAAATTTAAACATTTCATAGCAGAGTGAAAGCAGCAATGGGATTACATGACTTTACAGAACGTCATGGTGTTAGTTTCAGGATTTCAGATGTATACACTTTGAGGGTTTATACAGGGGAAAATGCTTATTGTTCTTGCACAAATCCAAGTGTTAATCATATAACCCTTCTAAGCATGCTTTGTGTCTACATAATGATTTTTCAATAATGACATTTATTTTCTCTTGGTGCCCCATCAAATTTAACTTTCATATTTGATTCCTCTTGAACATCTAATACACTATGCAAAAGAATTACTACATTTTCCCATGCAAGAGTTTCCTCCCTTTTGATGTGTTTCCAGCATAAGATCAGTTTTGATATTTAAAGTGTAACCGGTTCTTGTAGAAATTAAGATGAACAAGTCGGTACGGGGTTGGATTTGTTTATTCCATGGAGATAATGTTGTTGAATTATAAATGAAAATCAATTTGAATAAGTTTATAAATCAATGGAAATCAACATTTCATTTTAATATCAACATATAAACACATAGACAACAGAAGAATGCACATTCACTTTACAACACAAACGATTTCAATTTAAACACATAAAACATTCATTTAGGCCATTACTTTACATTTGTACTAAACGCATTCAAAGGGCAATAACTCTTTGAAACTCAATTTGACTAAAGATTATATTTCTTTTACATTTATCAATTATCTATTTACAATACTTGAAAAATATGAATTTAAACATACCAGTGTATGGAACTGAGTGATCACTTGATGAGGATTTAGAATCAGTAAATTACATGATGACAGACCTAATGAATTAACACAAATAATAAAATCATAATAATTCAAACCCAGATCTCAATTCTAAAGATCTACATGAATTAGATTAAAATATAACTTGCTCATATAACTTTCAATATATCAGTCTTTACTTTAATGACTTCAAAACTTTCACTCTATCGCATTCATACTTGTTTAGCAAGTTTAAGTTTAAAATTTTATTCATTCATTATCTTTTAATTTCAGTTTTGATTATTTATTCAGTTTAAGAAAATGTTTACTTACAGTTTATGGGTGTTTAATTTACTCCAAAATTATCAGGTTTTGAAATAGACACAAAAACAGATCTCTGACAACACCCTTCTCAGAAAGTAGCTATGAATAGATTAGTTTCAAAGGATTTCAGAGAATGGACACTGGTTTACCATACAATAAAAACTGACCAATAGAAAGATGAATATAGACTACTTATTTATAAATAGACTGTAATCATATAAACTTACCTTAACCCATAGTCTTTGTGTTAACACCATTATTTAAATAGGGATGTTTATGATTTTAAACAAAATGTTAGTAATGCGCAGCGCTATGTAAATGCATGAATGGATAAATGAATGAATGAATGAAATTCCTGAAATAAAATAAATATAGCATTAATTAAAATAAAATAAAAATAAGTACAACTACCACAAAAGCACTGCTCTCTAAGCAAGGAGTAAACTGAGCGAAAGATAACCCAGCAGATTAAAAAGTTGATATAGAAGCTGTATTCATTATAAATTGAACCAAGATGGTAGAAGATTATCAACTTTCTAATTATTTATAAAAATGTCATATCATTGTTACACTTAGTTTTTATGTTTTACCTATGAGATTTTTAACTGAATATCAATAGAAGTAGTTTTATGGACAATCACTTACAAACCTGATAACCGATCTGTTTAGAAATTGACCATGTACAACAATTTTTCCATTCATTTCTTGTAATATTGATACAAACAAAGATTGGAGGGGGTACATGTAGCAATCACCTTGTCCTGTCCGTGTAATAGAGTCCAGATTATGCATAACTCTGTAGAAATGAATTGTCAGAAGCTCATACTTGCCACAAAGATTGTTAATGACTTGTTGGGGTGTTGACCTTGATTTGAGGTCATTCCTGCAAATTAAGGTCAGTGGCAGAAAAAGAATCATATTTGTGTCTGGTCTACATATTGCTAATGGAGAAAACCATTAGTTCCTATCTCGTGCAAAGATTGAATTTGTTGCTACCTTGATCCAAGTATATTTCATCAAGTTAAAAAAAATGTTTAATTACTTTCCTGTTGTATCTTATAAATTGACTCATGTCCTTGACCTAAAAGGATGACCTACTTTTGAAAATTCAAACTTTAACCATGGCAATATGTGATGCCATACAGGAGCAACAGTGTTTCAAAAATATCTTGTTTCAAATATATGATCTTAATGTACATATTTTGCTTAAAGCTTACCAGAACTTATGATTAGAGGGTGTGTTTTATTTAAACAAAGGTCAGTTTTGGTTACTTCAAGGTCACATTTAGAAAATCATACAAGGGCACTGTGAAAAAAATTGCAGGGGGTTATAATTTTATGTGTAACTGTTTATGAGATGTCTCACAGAATCTCTGGTTTATTGATAAGTCAATAAGTCACTGTGAGGGGGATACAGATTGGCAAGTAATATTGCTCAATTAGCTAATGACTAATACATTATGAATTCTTTTAAGTAAGAAAGCATGCTTGCTTAAAAGGTTTATAAGCCTAAAATATTATATCTTTGGATTTTACTGGTCATTTTAGTATTATACACTCATTAACTGACTTGGAACTTTAAAAGGGAAATTGTATGCCACACATAATTTTAGATAGAGTATTGTAGAATTGGTGGATAAATAGAGGATATTCAATGTTTTGTAGTTGAATATGGAATTAATTTGAGGAATGGGGCAGGATTTTTTAAATATTTTCACGAGTGTGATCTCAGAATCAATAGGGATCTTCCTTTAGCCATAGGAAGTGGTGGTATAAAATTTCACTGCAAAAGCTTAAAGGCTTTTCAAGGTAACGCCTGGAAATAAAAGTGATACAGACAAACAGATCTACAGACAGAGGGATGGACAGACATACTGAAATTGATATGCCCCATTTTCAGGGGGGTGGGTTCAAAAATGTAATAATTATTGATACTAGTAATTAACTGATTATTGTTTGGACAATGCAAATTTAAGGAAATCTCGTTTAATATCATTTAAAAGATGTTCATATTTTTCTTTGATCTTTCTCTTATATGATCGTAATATTATGCAAAAGTACACTCAGTGTAAAGTCAGTTGGAATCCATATTGAACTATTATTTCTCAAAATGTGCTGTATTTTGGTATGAAGTTTAGCTGTGATGTTCACTTGGTCTTTCATGTTTAATATTTCAACTTGTAAACTTTATACAATGTTTGACCATTTCCAGGTCTCCTAGTTGCAACTTGAATGGTTAAATTGAGACTAGTAATTAAAAGTAATTTGCATTTTTAGCTCGCCTCAATGAAGTTGGGGGAGCTTATGTAATACCCTCAGCATCGGCGTCCTGGGTTAAGGTTAAGTTTTTTAGAGCAGTTTTCTTTTTAAGTACTTCTATGACCTATATTGATTAGACATGCATGGAAGATGTTTCTAGTGTGTTTCATTGTACCAGTCAAAGTTTCAGATGCTGCAATTTTAGCAAAGAAATGACCAGGTTAATGTTTTTGGAGCAGGTTAACATTTTTGGTGTAGGTCTCATTTCCGAGTAACTATAAGCCCTATGTTGACCAAACTTGCACGGATGATACATCTAAGGATGCACACTACCAGGCTTGCTTCGGATGCTGAATCTGACCTACATTTTCTGCATGAGTGAACAGGTTTATGCTTTCAGTGCAGGGCTCATTGACAAGTAACTATAATGACCAAACTTGCATGGATGATACATCTAAGGATGTATACTACCAGACTTGCTTCGGATGCTGAATCTGACCTACATTTTCCGGTTGAGTGAACAGGTTAAAGTTTTTGGTGCTGGTTTCATTTCCTAGTTACTTTGAGCCCTATAATGACTAAACTTGCGTGGATGATACATCTTAGGATGCATACTACCGACTTGCTTCGGATGCTGAATCTGACCTACATTTTCCAAATGAGTGAACTGGTTAAAGTTTTTGGTGCAGGATTCATTTCCAAGTAACTTTAAGCTCTTTAATTACCAAACTTGCATGGATGATACATCTAAGGATGCATTCTACCAGGCTGGCTTCGGATGCTGAATCTGCCCTACATTTTCTGGATAAGTGAAAAGGTTAGTTTTTTTTTAATACAGTTTTCATTTCCAAATAACTTTGACCTCTATGTTGAGCAAACTTGCATGGATGATAGGATGATCTTAGGATGCACTCTAATGTTCAGATGCTGAATTCGACATACATTTTCCAGATGATGGACCTGGTAAAAGTTATGGGTGCAGGTCTTCTATTACCAAGAAATCATAAGGCTTATATAAACCAAACTTGCACAAATGATGCTTCAAGGGATGAAAACTCTCAAACTTGCTTCAGATGCTGGATTTTAATTGTTTTCATGATGAAGAACTAGTTTGAAGGTTTTATATAGACCTATTCCAAAGTATCAAATCAAAATTGCATACTGTAAACCAACTTTTATTTGCGATGACTTTATTTCGCGATTGACCAGGGGTAAACTAGTTTGCGACGATTACTTTTCGCGATAAAGCCTATTTAGGTTCTCTTTTTAATAGACACATAGTCTTTAAGAACCAGTTCGCGGTGAGAAATATTCGCGATGACGAGGCTCTTGCGAACTTCGTGAAAATTACTCGCACACGAATTAAAGTTGGTTTACAGTAAATTTTGCATTTTTGGATGTACA